TAGAGTGTTAGAATTTAGTCAATCTCCTTGGTTAAAAGTTTATATTGATTTTAATACTAATCTTAGATCAGAAGCTAAGAATGAGTTTGAAAAAGAATTTTTCAAATTAATGAATAATAGTGTTTATGGACGTACTATGATGAATGTTCGAAATCATGTTGATATAAAATTATGTTTCTAAATCCAACTAGAAAAATTAATTGCAAAACCAATTGTTTTTTTAATGCGCTTAATGGTTTTATTCACACCTAAATGTTCGCCTAGTTTTGAATCATAAAAATAATTGCTTTTTCTTCTGCATTATATTCTATATTTGCACATATAATTATTTCTATATCTGTTTTGCAAAATATGTATTGTAACATTGACCTTATTTTTACCATTCTAAATTAACGTGATCGCCTAGCTTGCTCGTGGCTAATTTATTCAGATTGTTTTCCTTACAAAATAGTTTTAGTTTGATCAAAGATATATACATGTTTTCGTAAGTGGCCTTCTGTCGATTTTTATTTTTCGTTACTAAGAATATTATAAACCTGTTTTCCTGTTTGAAATAGGGTGTGTCTCTTTTGTGAACTTTACTAGTTGGCAATATTGAACCGTTTCCGAATTGTTTTTTTTTTCAACTGATAATTTGTTCCTGTCCTAAAATTATATTGCTTGGCAATTTCTAATACTATATTATATTCTTTTGGTGGATCTATTAGTGTACCTATAGTTTCTTTTACATTAATATTTGTGATAATTTGTGTTCCTAACTTTTCGATATATTGTTCGTATGATTCGTTTTTTATTTCCTGAATTGAATATATGCGTGTGAGAGTATCTACATTTGAATTTAGAACTCCGGGTTTATGACGTATTTTTAATTGATTTGTGTTAGCGGCGAATGAATTAAATGTTATATGATTATTTTCTAAGGTTGAGAATATGTGAAATATTCTTGAGTCGGTTGTTCCGCGATAATCTGGTTTATCGTACGAGTACCGCGCCTCTCGTTCGACACGTTTTCGTTTTCCGAATTATTAACGTTTCTACTCTCATCGTTTCTCTTTTTATAACACGAGTCGATATTATGACCAGTTCGATTACAGTATGAACACGTAACTACCTGTATATTATAATTCGTAGGTGGTTGCGTAAAATTATATAACTAGGTCTCGTATTATTCCTACATTGAGATGCATAATGATTACCATTACAATTATAGCACTTTATTGCTGGTCTATTGATTGATTGAGAAAAATTGTTTGCTCGTGGATAATTATTTGTCCTTACAGGGTTATTTGGTCTAATGTTTTCGTTGTTCCTATTTTCGTAATTCGATCTGCGCTGATTATAATTTTGTGAATGAATATTCAAATAATGGTTCTTATTTTCCTGTTCTAATCTTAGTTCCACCTGTTCTGACATAGGTAGCAAGTTGTTTCGCGATCTCCAGAGTTTTTTGATTACGAGATTTTACTATTGTTCTAATCGGTTCTACTAATTCTTTAATAAATATCGCTAGAGTTTGTTCCCTTAATATTTCATGTATAACTTTTACGGTACATAACTGATAATATAGTTTCTCTACTCTATGACAATAATCATTTGCATCCTCATTGTGATACATTCTAATCGAATTTAATTGGAGTTTAACGACGATGCCGTGGTTGTTACCTCAAATGCATCTGTTAAATACATTTTTATAAACTGTCATTTCGATACATTTTTGTATTTAATCATTTCTAATGCTCTACCTGTTAAACGTGTGGTAATATATTTTACTAGTGTTGGTGCACTGTTTGTGTCGACTTAACTTACTGCCATATCGCATGAATTTATGAATTGATAGATATCGTCCATTCCTGTGCTTAGTGGAATTAATTTAAAAGCGTCTTCTAATTTTATGGTTACTGCCATTTTTTTAGTACGTGTTATAGGTAAAAATTCTAATGACTGATGTTCAAAACTATCTGTAACTTGGCTACGTGTGATTACTCCTGGAATTGGGTTTCTACTTGCGTTATCTCCTAACTGAGTTTCTACTATAATATTCAACTGGGCTTTCTGTTGGGCTTCAAACTGGGCTTCTTCTACTACACTAGTGTTATACAATGAATTAGCTACGTTCAAGGGAGATGTACCTTCTTTGTCCATAAATTACTTAGCTACCTATTTAATACGTTAATACTCATAATAATAATACTCAAAATGCCCTTTAAATTCAATAATAACTTCAATAATACGCCCTCTAATAAATTCAAATAAACTTCAATAATACTTCAATAATAAAAATGCCCTCAATACTATAACTATTCACTCACAATAATGCTGTGTTCCTGGTTGCTGATGACATGCTGATGGATTTGTTGGTACCGCGACGTGACTTATTTGTTTTTTTTTTATGGTTCTTCTTGGAGTTGTCTTCTCGGAAGAGTGTACAGTTCTTCTTTGTTGACGGTAGCCTTTGACGGGTTGCCTCCTTTGAAAGAAATCCTACATCGACTGCGCCAGTGTTACGTATGGCCCTTCAGGGATCCAAAAGCTGTTGCACTTTTACAATAAAATGTAGTCAATTTAAATATAAATCAATTGTAATTTATTAAAACCAATAATAATTAATATAGTCGTGGTGAATTGCAGCGTCGTGAGTTGACTCTTTGTAGTAGTCGATAATCTCCATGTAAGTGGTGTGTAATGGCTGGTGCTTTAAGCTGCCCGCTCGGTCTTGGCGGCTCTGGTACATCTACTCAGGCTGTCTCGCTGTCTCCTATATATGGCTGCATGTTACTTGCGTCCCAAAAAAAGATATTTTTTTCAGGTAGTAAATTTGACCGGTAAATTGCGTCCCGTTTTGGGGACGCAAGTCAGCCATATAATTATTATCGATATTATCTTCTAAAATCATTAAAATCGATAGTATTGTGTCACTAAAATCGATAGTTCATAAACTATACCGTATACAATATGTGTGTGAGTGCGTGCGTTACTTACTTACAATGTAGATACAATTTATCTATGATAGGTACAATATGATAGTATATTCTATTAATAACTTAAGTGGGTATTATTTTATGTGAAAAGATATGGGAACATGTATACATCTTGTTGGTTGTTAGATTCGATAAGATAAAGCAATTACGTCGATAATTTTTTTTTTTACTCGCATTATATTTTCACATTTTACTTTTATTCCGTACGATTCGTCTTATTAGACCAATAGTTGTGAAATAACCACTCATCAAATTAAAAAAAAATTAAATAAGTTAATTTAATAACATACGATTTTTTTTTAAGGTATAGAAAAAATGTGTAGCTCTAAATTGGTCGCGAATAATGGTTTTAAAATAATTTATGGTTATAAGTTCGGATATCATAAAATGTTATGTAATAACAATTTTCGATGGAAGAGCACGGATAAAAGCTGTAAAAGCTATATGAAGCTAGATGTTCATCAAAATGTAATAAGTAATCCTACTTCACATACTCCATATCACACTCCAGACGACATCACTCTATATTATTATTATTACTACCATGACAAAATATAAAACATATGAATTTGTAATTTTATAAGTTTGAATTTTAAAAAAAAGCGTGAAAATTGAATATATAGTCCTGAAGTTGAAAAATATTCGTTCAACTTTTATAGTTTAGGATTGAAATATACTTAGTAATATCATAGGCTGATTGACCGTTTTCGCTCAGAATAGTTTTTTTTATACTTTTTTTTTTTACATTTTTTATCGATTTTATCGATATTTTTGGGACTCAATTAAGTCATAAAAAAAGGTATACTGGGACGCAAATCGGCTATGACCTTTTTGAACCTTTTTTTTGCGGGACGCAACTCACCTACTGATAATAATTTCGGACGCAAGTAGAATGCTCCCCTATATACATATATAGTGGCGGCGTCCTTTGAAAGCGGGTAGCGCGTGTACAGTCGTCCTTGATATGATTCGGACCTCACGACTAAAAGCGGTATTCTAGTCGTAAACACTTTTGGGTGTGGTCGCATTCCTGGTTGTTTTTATGAGCAAATACATGATATTACGTAATCCCATTACAATATAAACAAAATAATGTATGGTTACAGCCTTTATAAAATATAATTTTAAATACAGTTTAACAATATTGATTTGGTAAAAAATATATACTTTTTGATGATTAAATAGATACAAAATTAAAATAAATATAGGTAGGTAATATATTATTATTACATCTTATTAGGTAAATCATATAAAATAAAAATTAAAAAACAAAATGAAAATGAATATATAATATACTTACCTAAATTGGCTACATTAAAATAATATTAATGTAATTTTTGATTTCCAATGAACAATTGAGCTAGATAGGTACTTGAAAATGTTAATCACCCTTCTGCTTGGGAAAAATAAAAAGTTGTACTGTGTTAAAATTGTTGGAAATTATCACAACTTATTCACATAAATGTTAATAAATATAATTTTTTTATGGTAATAAAATAATTAGGCGTGGCTACATGATTAAAAATTTAAATATTCTAATATTCTGTTTGAAGAATGTATATAATATATTATATTGTCTGATGTTTAATATCCGCTACAAGCAAACAAGTTATTAGTAATACATTTATAAATCCAAAAATATTAATAACAATATTTAATATTGTGGTAGGTAGGTAATGATATTAATACATATAACAGGGGGTGGACACTCTTGGGCGGCGGGCCGGGCCGGGAGAATCAGTGGGCCATGACACTGGCGTCAAACAGTGTGCACATTGCTATGGCAAAATAAAGAATCTTTACGTTTGTATAAATGTTCACACTGAGTATAGTAATGATAAGTACCACGTTTTTACGTTATCGTGATTACAAGTTTTATGTTTATTGTTTTGTCTGTCCGTGCCGTTTGTAACGTAGACTCGTGACTCCTTTCTACTCGTTATATTTTGTGACTTAACGCCGTTTTTGTATTTTGATTTAAATTTTGAGTATTAGATTGTAGTTTTATTCTGTGCTATCATCATGGTGAATTTGTGCATTGTGAAAGAATGCAATAATTCTAGTACGTTGACTGTAAAGAAGTGCATAATGTTTAAGTTACCTAAAGATGAATTACGGTAAGTTTAATTTAGCCTGTCATTAATGTATATAAATTATAATATATTATGAATATGTATCTAATTATAATTTAAAAAATTTAGTCGTAAGAATTGGCTGATAAATTGCGGTCGTCAAGATTTATTAGAACAATCAACAGTACGTCGTTATGTGTGTTCAGACCATTTCGAAGACAAAATGTACTCAAACCCTGATAGAACAGTTTTATTACCTACTGCTGTTCCTACTGATTTCTGTAATTATAATTTTACATATTGCATATTTTATACTTTACTGATTATTGTTTATTTTTATAGCATTGATCTTTAAAGAACATGCGTGCAGTACTTCATGTGTGGATACTAGTATATCAGATCCATTGTTTAATAATTCAGTTGCCACGAGTACTCCAACAAAACAAAAGGAGTCAATTTCTATTTCTTGTAAGTTTTTGTCTTTAAGTAAATATTATTACCTACTTTATTTGTATTATATAATATGATATTTTTACTATAGACTGAAATAGTAAAATATAATAAAATTAAAAACAAAATAAATTAACTTAACTTACTTATTAAAATGAAAAATTAATTCATTAATTTCTCGTTAGTTAAAAAAGAAATTTAAGAAGTTAAGAGTTAAATTAATGAAAAGCCAAAAGTAACTAGGTACCTAGTTAAGTTAAAAAGTTAAAATTAAATTAACTTTAACTTTTTAACTGGTTAATGCCCAGCTTTGATATAAATTGATAATGTTGTTAGCCGTGTTCAGTTGTATCATAAGATAAATATAATTCTGTATTATTATTGATCAAAATAAAATAGAAATAATTTACGGAATTTAAACTACAAACTGTTAATTTAATTTGCATATTTAGTATTTATATTTTGTTTTTCTTTAGGTTCACTATCTCCAAGTTCATCATATTCTGCTGATTGTTCGATCTCCTCATCTACTCAAACTACTCAAACTACTCAAATTCTCTCATTACATACCCCAAGAAAGAAAAAGTACAGATCTGAACTTCGAGAAATTAAAAATAAATACGAACAGTTAGAACAGAAAATGAATGCGTTGAGTGAAGAAGTAGCTATGAAGAATAGTGCAAATGCAATAGATGTAACTTCAGTTGAATTGTTTAACAGAGTAGTTGAAGCACATTTACCTCCTAACCTGTGCATGATTATAAAACAGTATGTTGAAATGGGTAAGAAAAAACCTCAGGGCTACCGTTATTCAAGTCAAATTAAGCAGTTGGCACTAACTATATATTTTTTTGGTCCACGTGTGTACACATTTTTAAAATCATTATTGCAATTGCCAAGCCCAAAAACATTACGCCGAGTCACAGAGAGGATTAATATAGTGCCTGGATTAAATGACATCATATTCGAAACTATGGACTTGAAGATAAGTAATATAAAAGATGATGCAAAGGATTGTGTTTTATGCGTTGACGAGATGTCAATCAAAACGTATTTATTTTATAATCTTTCTCAAGATTACATTGTAGGATTTAATAATTCATATGACAGAAAAACATACGAACCAGCAAAGCAAGTACTCTGTTTTATGTTGAGAAGCATCAATTATGATTGGAAGCAACCAATTGCATACTGTTTTTATCAATAATAGCTGTACAGGAATTCATCTTCAAAATACCATATTCGCCGTAATCAGTCGTATCCAAAAAACATCACTTAAAATTAAAGTATTAACAAGCGACCAAGGGTCAAATTTTACTAGTTTTTCCAAAACAATGAATGTTTCATGTGAACGTCCATTCTTCTTTGTTAATGGGCAAAAAATATTTTATGTATTTGATGTGCCACATTTACTAAAGTCAACAAGAAATAATTTTTTCAAGTATCGTTTAACTTTTTTAAATGGTACGACGGAGAAAAAATTTCTTGTTGACTTTTATAAATCGGACCAAGGCATAAATAGGCTTGCGCCCAAATTAACTGAAACACACATCAATCCGGGACCGTTTCAAAAAATGAAGGTGAAATATGCAGCCCAAGTTTTCAGCAACACAGTTGCAGCAGCAATGCAATGCTGTGTTCAAGTTGGTTCACTGCCTTTAACTGCTGAAACTACCATAACATTTATTGACCATATGGACAAATTGTTTGACTTATTGAATTCAAAAAAGAAATCTGGTAGTAAAAATTTTAATCGACCATTTAAGAACACGGCTAAACAGAGAGAACATTTACTCCATATGCTCGAAGTATTTAAAAACATGAGAGTTCTGGATACCAAGAAAGTCGATGGAGAAACTGTAATAATTGATGTTACAAAACGAATGAAATTTTTGAATGGTTGGATGATAACAATTAGTTCGTTATTAATGTTGTGGGATGACATAACCAAAACACCGAATTTTGTGTTATGCTTTTATAGATTTAATCAGGATATCATTGAAAATCTGTTTGGAGTATTTCGAAATCAAAACGGCAATAATGTCAATCCCACTCCAATACAGTTTCTATGGGCTTTTAAAAAAATATTTTTTGTCAATTATTTCAAACACTCCGAAGGATCAAATTGCTTAGAAGATCTTAGTGAAATTTTAACTACTATTGGGCATATTTCACCACCGTTGAACAATTCATGTGTGCTATTTCCAGACAAATCTCCTTTTAATTTTTGTAATTTAAAAATAGGTACCACTGATTACAGAGAGTTAAACGTTCCTGCCCAAAATGCCCTTACGTATGTATGTGGCTACTTGATAAAAAAATATATAGATAAACATAGCTGTGATATATGCCTAAAATTATGCTAATCACCAACAGCAATTGGACCAATCATTTTTGTTTACATATTTTAAATCCTATGAAACTGCCAACCATTCTAACTATGGGAATTTAAATGTTCCTCCAGATAATTTTTTTAATTATATTAATCAATTAGATGAAATTTTTATAATAAATTTCCCTATCTTGGCAGTTGAAGAAAATGTTGGTAGAAAACTAAAAAATTTAATTGACAATGTTCCATTTGAACATCCATGCAAATACTTTGACCTAGAATTTCTCAATAGTCTATATATTCGCCTAAGGATATATTATTCAATAAATAAAATAAATAAAGATATGTCATTAACAGGTAGAAAGCATAGAAAGTTAGATATTCTTTCTCACCTATAAAATGTTATATTGTTATGTATTATAATTTTAATTATGTATTATTAGTGTTATTTTTTATTCTCGTATGTAATGTACTAGTATTGTTTTTTTATTAATATATCTTGTTTATTGTGAATTATTTGCATATATATTATTTGTTATGTCTGTATGACTTAATATATATTCCTATCACATAATACAACTTACTGTTCCTACTAGTTAGCAATTCTCCAATTATTATATTTAAAAAAAAAATGATTGGAAGCTTGTTATATTTTGTGTAGGAAGACTATAATTACAGGAATTGCAAACAGTTGTAGTTAAGTACACCAAAAAGCAAGGTTGGGCAAGTTAATAATTTTAACTCAGTTAAGTTAAGTTAATATGCAAAATAACAAAAAGTTAATTTGTTTATACAACTCTAGCATTGTTATATGTAATCTGTGATGATAGCGTACTTAATTTTTTACCCACCCAAAACTGTATTATAGACTAGTGTTTAAACTTTATACAGTATTTCCATATAAGTTAGATTCCAATGATATCACGGTAAATATTTTTTGACATGAATACGAAATAGACTGAAATAGTGAAATATAATAAAATAAAAAATAAAATAAATTAACTTAACTTACTTCTTAAAATGAAAAATGAATTTCACATTAATGAAAAAAGAAATTTAGTACCTAAGTTAACAGTTAAATTAATGAACCTAGCCAAAAAGTACCAAATAATACTAACTGCTTATTCAAAATTAAATTTAAATGTATCAAAATATTCTGCTCTGTAATAAGAACATAGGCGCAATTAGGGGGGGAGCTTTAGGTGATAATCCCCCAAACATTTTGTTTTAAGGTTATTCAATATTATAAAAGTAAGGTTTTAGCCCCCCCCCCATGTTCCAAACGCTTTTTGCGCCTATGATTAAGAAATTAAAAATGCATGTTCATTAATAATTGGAAAACTTAAAAATGAATTAACAATAGAAATAGTAAATACAATACATTCATCGTTCAGATTCTAAAATATCATTTTGGAAATAATGAATATAAGATTTTTTATTGTAAAAATGGGTTCCACTTTTTTTTTCAGTGAAAACTGGTCAAACTGTTCGGTTGAACTGGCCCTACTGTAAGCCGCTGGTGTCATGGCCGACTGACTCAAGTAATTGTCCTATGCTGCCTATGTAAACTGTTATCAGTGTCCATTCTGATTGTTATATTCTGTGCATATAACGACTATAACTTATAAGCTACAAATCATTGGTGCAAATAGGGAGGGGAGGACTTAATCCCCCAATTCAAAGGTCCGTACTTAGTACCTACTAAGCATATTATAATTTTTAGAAAATAATATAGGAAGATCGTGAGGGTTTGTCCCCCACCAAAATATTGGGCTATTTGTGCCTATGCTACGAATAATAATATATTATACTTAAACATTTTGTAAGTCGACAAAAACACTGGTTCCTGTTATATTATAATAGTTCGATACTCACGATAATCAAATCTTTAAAAATTAAATTAATATAGCGCATAAAAACTGGTGGAATATTTTTAAGACCAAATGGCATCCTTAAATACTCATACTGTCCAGAATGTGTAACAAATGAAGTCAACCTAATTGATTCTTTATTAAGTTTAACATGGTGAAAAGCATTTTTTAAGTCAAGTTTAGTAAAGTAATATTTATCCCTTAACTTATCTATTTGATCTTCTAATCCTTGGTAATGGGAAGTTATCTTTTAATGTTATCTTATTTAATTCCCTGTAATCTACAAACAGACGCAAATCACCGGTTTTTTTCATTACTAATACAATAGGAGAACTATATGGCGAATAACTCTTTTGAATAATTTTATTTTTTAGTAATTCATCGATCATTATTTCTACTTTTTGTTTTTCATAATATGAAAACTTTCTAGGTCTAAAGTAAAATGGTTCATTATTAGTTTTAATATTTATGGTCATTTCAAAGTCAACTTTGGGTTCACTAGGCCTTAACGGTTTGACATAACATTCCTTGAATAAATCATACAATTTGATTTTTACTTCATAGTCATTTTCAGATTCTATTTTTAATTCATATTTACCATCAGTTTCATCTGTAACTTACCAACCACTTCAACTCAATATTGTTGGTATTTTGAATTAAATAACAAGTTGATTTTGTAATGATAGTTCAGTTGTATTTATTTGACACATAAAATAGACTAAGTCCAAATAATTAAATTATAAAAATGTGGTAAACGGGTTGTGACTTAGTATCGACTTCGTGGCTGTTCTGCTAGTGCTCGTCGTCTCGGCTGGTGTTCGTCTGATGGACACTTGTTCATCGACGTATTTCGTCGGTTTTCCTATTAGCTCCCTCCTATGGCATTTTTAGTAAATAAATGGTGCATAGCTGCGTATACCTGACGTCATTTCGGCGTCCTCTACGAAATAATGTTAATTAAGGATTATATGTTTTCAAAGTTATCTATTTGTACTGTTTACTGGCTTTTTTGTCTTTCCTATAATATGGATATTGCGCGCGTATACCTATCAATTGTTCGCGCTGTACCATTAATTAGTTCTGTACTCTTATCGATGTGGCTGCCCGGACACTTATATTATTACTATTATCGGGTTACGTGCCCCCTGCAGCATTTATATCTGTTATTGAATATAATATATTATATTATAAGCGTATTATACTTAATACAGCATAATATAGTATAATATTTTATATATTATTACTATTATAATATGTACGTAGTCACAGCCCGTTACACCTCCTCGCCCTTTCAAAGGTTTTTGTAGGGCTACAATTTGTAGAACTACAAAAATCTTTAAAGGAATTTTACATAAGACATGGATATAAATACATAGTACATAAATTGTTAATAATTGTCATAAAGACAATTTTACATAATTTCTTTTCATGACATAATGAATTTCATTTTACATAATTTCTTTTACAATACATAATTTTTCATCACAAAACATAACAATATTTCTTTTTATAACAACATAACATAACATAACATTTTTTTTTTATATAACATAACAGTTTCATTACATAACAATATATAATATATTTTTCATCTGATTTTTAAACATAATAACATAATAATTAAAATTTTTGGTTAACACATCATACCTTAATAACTAATACAATAACATACTATATTACTATAGCATTGGATACAATAATATTTTAATGTTAAGTTACATGTTATATATAATTTATTTTTTAATGATTACAATTATTTCATAATCCCCAATGGAATTACAGACCAGTATATTTAATAAGTGCGTGTTTAAATTTATCTTTAAATTATTGTTAAAAATCAGTATTTACCAGTAAGCATTAATTTACCATAGTGTTAGAGACAACATGAAAATTTAACGTTAAATTATTCTCACCTATTATAAGATTAGCTTTAATAACATCCAGAATATCTAATTTAACATTATTAATTCCTACAAAGTTATTAACAAATTGTGAATTATACTTAACGCCTAAAGGTACAATATTTTCTTTTATTAAAGAGATACCACTTCCGGAATCAAGAATTGCATTTAATTTTACCTCTGTATTTTCACCAAATATCACACCAACCACCTTCTTGTACAGCATCAACAGGAACATTTTCAACCAACATAGTATACATTGTAGACTTATCCATTTCTTTTGCTTTATTTGACTTCCATGTCGATGCGGAACGCTTTGGACAATCTGGTTTCTTGTGATCCATAGAGCCACACAGAAAGCAAGATCCAGTTTCTCGCTTTGGTTTGCGACATTCTTCGGCAACATGATACCTTCCTCCACAGTTGGAGTTTTTCTTTACTGCTTTAACTTTGTTACAATCACTGGGATTAGATACCTCCTTATCCAAGCCCAATTTATTAGAAATCTTATTATTTTGTTGTAAGCGATATTCCTTCATACGTTCAAAGTTTATAATGTCACTCAATAAACTGCCTTCATTGAGATGATCGCGACTTAATAAATACTGACATGGTTCTTTGGAGCTTACACCAGACACCTATCATTACTTGTTCTTTGATATCTTCTATGCCCAGATTAAGATTTCTACAAAAACGTACCTTTTCATGGTAATAGTCTAAGACATTTTCGTTTTTATTTTGAACGCGTGCAACTAAAGTTTTCCATCGACTACCGATATTTGATTGCATAGCAAACGTACGCTTGAACTGAATCTCAAAGTCACTTCAAGAATTGAAAACTCGACCAATGGACCACTGTTTGGCTGGACCTTCAAGGCAAGTACGTGCAGTTTCAATCTTTAGATTATCAGGCCATTTTTGGTGACAAGCTATATTATTCACAGTATCTAGCCAATCTAAAGCATCATCATTATTACTTTTCCCCGTAAAACTAGGTAACGATTTATTCAGATCGGGTAAAACTGGTATAATTTTGGGTTCATCCTTTGTATTACTTGCTTGTAATGAAAGTAAGTTCATCAGCATTTCGTTCTGTTTCATTAATTGTTTCAAAACATAATCAGTACTGACCTTAGGTTCCGATGTAACATCACTACTGCCGCCATTAACGCAGTTACCATCATTGGCTTTAGAAACATCATTAGGTCCAACGTAAATTGTTTCGACTTCGCCTTCACTCGATTCATCTTTAGGACTATCCATCTTATTTAATTTGGCCTGAATTTAATAAACACGTGTATTTAAATTTACAACGATATTGAATCAATACGTGTGTCCGTACGGTCGATCAAAATTGATAAAATCATAAATTATATCTCGAGACGTTTAAATCTGGCCTCTGATCCCACTTCTGATAAATTGTAGAAATAAACGTGACACAATTTAATTATTACAATATTATTTAATATAAGAATAAAACAGAGCACTCAACGGCTTCAACGTATCAAACAGACTAACTAACTTTTAAAATAATAATGATAATACAGTTTTTTTTTTAAGGTTAGATTACAGTGCCTACACAATAATTTTATTTATTTCATAATCTGAAAAAAAATAGTATTCATGTTGTTAAATTGTATACTATTTATATTTACTAGTATTTTAATTTACATAATATTCAGACCATAGGTTAACTTACAAGTATAATTATTGTGTGAATAAAATATAATAACTTGTAATGATAATTGTATTTACATATTGTATTTAAATAAGTAGGTTTTTAATTTTCAATTACCTACTTTTTACATTTTACTTTTTACTAGTCAGTTGGCCAAAATTAATTTTATATTTACTAATTTAAAATTGTAATGTTACATTCAACAAGGAAGGTATTTTTGTACCAGTTATGACTTATGAGTGAAAAAATATAATAAATAAAATAGTAAATCATTCATAATAAATTTGTGACGACGGACGGATGATTTGTTTGAATTTTGAAGAAAAATAATTTACATAAAAGTACTTATTTGATTTTCAAATACAAATTCAAAATATGTGAAAGACTGTATTTAAAATACTTAATTCAAAAAGTAGGTACTTAAAATTATACTAAATACTATAAAAGCGTTTAAATACATTTACTCAAATACATTAAATGACTGATATATAAATATATAATAGTTTAATTATTAAAATATTCAGTGTACCTACCTAGCTATAGAGTACCTATAGATAATAACTAATAAGACATTAAGACAATTTATTATTATGCGTTTAAAATTTAAATAATAATTTGTATTCATGTTTGATAATAAATAATTCATTTTGCTATTTGGATAGCTTAAAAACATTTTTTTATTTAAAAAAAGGGTAACTTTTGAAAATGAATACATTAATGTGTTGCATGTTTAGGTACTTGATAGTTGCATGCAAGAATATTAGACAAACAAAATCAAAACCTAATTAAAAATATTTGGCAGCCAGTTTGGTATTAAAAATATTTATAGTTATTACCTAGATACTAGTTTAACAAAGTACTAAATGTCTAAATACTAAGAAATATGAACGTGGATAGCGTTTGATTGCGGAATTGGACTCTGTGAAGCTTGTGAAAAAAACCTGTTTATTTTGCCGGTTTTTTTCATTACAGAGGCATACTGTAAAGCCTTTGCTGCGGCCTTTTTTCTGTACCCTAATCCGCTAAGCCTTGACCTAGGACCCATGATTAAAATGAAATCTTACAGTAGCCAGTTGTAGGTAAAACAGAATACTGTAATAGCCTGCAATAGGTATGTACATACGATCTTAATGACTACGTAGGGCCGGTTCTACCACCTATAGATAACTCTTAGTTAAATTTATCCATAGGATAAGTTGACTCATACCGTTCTACAATGTCTAGATATCCCTGAACCTGTTGGTAAAGTCATTGGTAACTTGTCAAACAGTTTTACTACTGAATAAGTAATTTATCTAGAGGATAATCAGTCTGTAGATGTGTAATCGATCTGTATGTCAGATTAATATTATCATATTATGAACTGATGTTATGCAAACTATATAGTGTTTTAATATAAAATATATTTAGTTTAAATTTCAGTGTATATGCTTATATTATTTTTTAACTAAAAAATGTTTTGTAATTTTGATATTATATCTGATGAAGATGAATATAATATTGAAGATTTTCCGAAACCACGAAAAAAAAAAGTATTTCGAAATCGAATGGAAGATTTAGAAATGTGGGATGATGATGAATTTTTTATGAGATTTAGACTAAAAAAACAACAGTTAAAGAACTTTTATTTAAAATTGAATTTCATTTAAAGTCAAAAACGAACAGGTACCTAAGTAATTTATTGTATATAATATATTTTATATGAAACTATACTTTTATAGTTTATACCTATCTATTTCTAACATTGCCGAGGGTCATTTGATAAAAAAAAAAAAAATAATAATAATATGTAAGTTGTAGGTACCTATACTATGTTTCTAATAAAAAAAATACCTTAACATTTTATTTTAATTTACTTTTCAGAAACCGTGCCATATTGCCTATAACAAAATTGTTATTGACACTTAGGTTTTATGCATTAGGGACAATTTTACTTGCTGCTGGGGACTTTGTAGGAGTCAGTAAAACTTCAGCCTGTAATATTGTTCGAACAGTTACTGAAGCTATAGCTTCTTTAAGACTTGATCATTATCAAATTCACTAGGATTACCAGTAATTGAAATTGATATTAATTTATGAATCCTCTGTGATATATCACTAATTTTCACAACTCTTTTTTCACCACCACCAGTTTTAAACAACTCTTTGCGTTCTTCAGCATACTCTTTCCTTGCACACTTTTTCAGCCCATTGTACTTATCTTTCAATGTTTTTACCGATCTAAAATCACTAGTCACATTCACGCTAAATTCTTTTTGTATCACCTGCCAGCATTTATCCTTTTGTTTCCACGTTTCTGAATCAGTTTCTTTATTTTCGATGATATTTTTATATTTCTCGACCAAACTTATCAACCTGTTAACTTCATCACTAGCAAAATTTTTTGAACGACTTTTCTCTTTATTTTTTATGTCCGACATTTTAAAAATATACAATTTATAAAAATGTAAAAATCTTAATTAATTAGGTACTTCTTACGATGGTACGACGTTAGTGCGATTACGAATACGAATTATTAGAACTATAAAAGTTAATATAGAAACAAAGAACTCAATACTTATAGAAGTTAATTGCAGTTTAGTACGGTACCTTTCAATTATTATCAATAATCTACTATATTTATTATAGATAATACAACAATATCATGGAAAGAATAACAAATTAAAAATTAATTTAACTACAGGATTACTATCCAATAGATAGTAATTCATAACACAAAATATTACTTGTAGAACACACATTAATTATCAATAAGATAAATGTCTTGGATAACGTTATCTAATAGATAGTTAACTGATACTTTATCTATAGATGGTAGAATCGGCCCTACACGAGACTATTCGGTTTATACTGTTTATTGTTTACAGCTTTCAGCTGTGTCGCTGTGTCGCAGTGTTGGTTGATAGCTTGATATTAATAACTTCGCTATTAGCAACTATCGTCGTTTAATCAGCATATAAATGCATATTGTCATGATGGGTTATTATTATTAACATCTATTTTTAATATGTATCGTCGTATGTTGGTTACCGGTGGGCGGTGACTCCGCGCCGTGGTGAAACTGTAAACAGCCAAATATGAAATAGGCAAGTTTGGGCGAGGAGGGAGATGGGTACACATTTACTGAAAAAATATTAATGAATTGACGTTAGTGTATAAAGTACGAAATAAAAATTTGCAGCTCCTAAATTTTTAAAAATTTGCCGCTCTGGGCAACAGGATCCATAGCCCCTACCTGGACACGCCTCTGAAAACAATGCAGATTATTTTCAAAAATATTGGAAGGACAAGAAGTGACAAAAGAAGGATTGCCAGAAGATTTGAATACAGATGAAATCACTTTTTTCAAACATGCGCCAATCACATCTGAGGAAGTTGAAAGAAGTTTTTCAACCTACAAAACTTTCCTATCGGACAATCGCTGATATTTTTTATTATTAATTTATTATATATTAATTTTATTAGGTATTTATTTTTATTATTTTAAAATATTAAATACACTTTAATCGTTCAGTGTAACACATTTATTGTTTAAAAGTATTAACATAAATTCAATTTAAATTGTTTAGTTAATAAAATCATATTTAATATATAAAAATAAAAATAATAATAATTATAAATTTATAAGAACCATTATGTTACATTATAATTTTGTAAGACGAATTTTTTTTAATTATAAAGAAATTTTTGGAATTTTTGTGGTCATTTTTTATGATTATAAGTCATATTAATATATATTTTTAGTGCATTTTTTAAAGATTTTTAAGTCATCAAGTTCCGGGCCCTAGTAATAGTTATAATATAAATAATAATAATAAAAAACAGAAATAGTATAATAAACAAATATAAATTCATAACATTTTCATAATATTATATAGGTAGCTCAAGATGCTGATAAGTGATAACAATATTTATGGTATTGTAGCGAGCTGTGACTATAATGTTAAATACTATATTATATTATATTGTATTAGGTAAAATACGATTATAATATATATATTATATTCAATAAATAGACATAAATGCTGCAGGGAGCACGTAACCCCAGTAATAGTAATAATATCAGCATCCGGGCGGCCACATCGATTAGAGTACAGAACTAATTAATGGTACAGCGCGAACAATTGATAGGTATACGCGCGCAATATCCATATTATAGGAAAGACGAAAAAGCCATAAAAAGTACAAATAGATGACTTTGGAAACATATAATCCGTAATTAACATTATTTCGTAGAGGACGCCGAAATGACGTCAGGTGTACGCGGCGATGCACCATTTATTTACCAAAAATGCCATAGGAGGGAGCTATTAGGAATACCCGACGAGGTACGTCGATGGACAAGTGTCCATCAGACGAGCACCAGCAGAGCAGCCACCAAGTCAAATACTAAGTCACATCTCGTTTACCACAGTTTTATAAGTTAATTATTTTGGACTTAGTCTATTTTACGTTTTAAATAAATACAAATAAATATCATTATTACCATCAACTTGTTATTTTATTCAAAATACTACCAATACTGAGCTGAAGTAGTTTGCTCGTTACAGTATGATATAATATGATAAAAGAAAACCTGTACCACGGGGCGGTTACACACTGCTCGGGTCGAAGCAATAATATGTCCACGAAAGTCGTCAGGTGCCCAATCACAATTATTGTAAAAACAGCCAATCTTGATACTGTAATCATACAGCATCACCCACAATCGATTACGTATATTAATAGTGCAAGTGGGTTAGGTTAGGGCTGAGGGATCGAAACTACGCAAAAGCCGGGCGAAACTCCTTAGCGCTCAAAGGAAACCATTGTTGGCGATAACCGGTGCGTACAGAACTGCCTCGACGAATTGCTTGGCAGCAGTTGCAGGAACTCTCCCGCTTGACCTGGAGATTAGGCACCAAGCGGCATTGAGAAACCGGGCCCGAGAGAGAATATCAGCCGACGAAATGGACACGATAACATACGAGCTGTTAAATGAGTGGCAGGATAGATACACGAGCACAAACAAAGGTAGTTGGACGCAGAAAATGATACCGTCCGTAAGACAGCGGTACCATCTACCTCTGGACCTTGACCACTACACCACTCAGTTCCTCACCGGTCATGGGGACTTTAAAGCCAAACTCTATGGTTTCAAACTGGTAAACGACCCGATCTGTGCATGTGACCGCAAACCGGAGACGGTGAACCACGTCCTCAGGTTTTGCCCAAGAACAGCATCAGCGAGACGCAAATTGAAATTAACAATGAGAGAAGAAGGAGAAGCGTGGCCTCCAGAAAACGGAGCCTTCCTCAAGTCTCGCAGAACATTCCAAGCCCTTAAGTCCTTCGCGAGAGAAGCACTCACGAACAGGATCGACAGATAATCGAATATGGGGATAGACCCAATGGGTCAGAACGCTGCCCCGTCCACGACGGAAGGCAAAGTCTCGGGGTGTTCCCGATGAGCACGTAAGGCGTAAGTGGCAGAAACGGGGGAACACGCTCGAGCGCGTTCTGGCCCGGGACGTGCTCATACGTCAGGGACGCGGAGTCCGGCCCTGTTGCGAGGGCCGTACAGAATTTCGCATCAGTATTCCCTGCTTGTCGTACAAGGCGACTAAAAGGGAATTGACCAGTCGAGGTCGGCGCCCGGGGCGCGGACGCACCGAAACCTACGGGGATTAGGGCGTTGGGAGGTTCTGACCGTGACCTCATGAAGAACGGGTCGGTCACTGGGCTTAGCCACCTGGTGACGCCTCTGGGAGGCGGAGTTTTGGGGCCCACCGTGAGCCCGTGGTACATGGCCCAAATCTCGGGAGGATCATAAGCTGAGGCTACTTGCCGACGAAGCTTCGTCCGAGCATCCGGCCATTGATGTGCCTTACCTTACGGGAGGCGAGAATGGTGCTTCGGGATGTGAGGGGGCCCCTCGGTGTTGAGAGATTAACATCGAGCCCTCACACGTCGGTCGTAGTGGACACTGCCTCGTCCGACGGCGGTTTGGTTTCGAAGTGGCAGTTTGCAGGAGCATACTATGTGGTGATAGGCCACACGCTTGGCCAGGGGAAGGCGGCCGAGTGACTGGACCGGGCGGACTCGTACGGCGACAGTCGGCCGGGAAAGCACGGCCCTCCTTAGCTCTCACCCAGCTTATCGTTGGAGCTATATGCAGCGAAGGTTGTCCGTGACCAAAAACGGAAAGCAAAGTGGATAGATTGCGGCCTCACCAGGGTGGCGAAAGGCACCTGTATGCCCTAGCCGGATGGTACGGGCGCTCCGGGGTAGTCCCCCGTGCGCGTCCGGTGCTCGTGGTCCTTTGACGACGCGCGTTCTGCGGCCGGCGGGTTAAACTGCCGTCCGTCGGTCGTGACCCTCCGCGGCTCTTGACTAGCACCCAGTGCTAACATAAGGTCCGCGGTTGTAGCCGTTAGGCATTAAAACCCGGGATCTTGTAGCTCGAAGAGCACATATATATATACATAAAAAAAAAGAAAATATTGTAAACAAATATTTTTCAACATTATAATATTTGTAATAATAAGAACAAAAACACACTCTATATCAAAAACAAAATTGTGTGTAATTTATCGTTACATTTTTGGCGCCCAACTACGGAGCTCGAGTCAAGAGGGATACTACTTCGTTCCACGAAAACCCGTCCTGCAGAGACCTACATCAATAATAAAAAAAAAAAAAAAAAATCTACTTCGTACCATATTTCAACTATACAATAAAAAAAAAAATGGCACCGAAGAAAACTATAAGTGAAGAAACATTTCAAGCATTTCAACGTGAAGTGGAACGCAATAGTCAATATTTGGTCAATCAACTACTACAAAAGATTAGTAAATTGGAAGAAAAATGTGCCAATATGGAAGAAAAATATAGCACTATGGAAGATCAACATAGAATAGAAATCCAGAAAATTGATGACAATCATTATGGGGACTTACAAAAATTAGAAAAACAGAACAATGAAAACATAGACCAATTAAGAAAAATGTTCGTCGAATCGCAGCAAAATCCATACGTTAACAACGATGATCGAAAAAACTCGAATGTCGAAATTTCAAAACCAGTATTTTATGCCAACAATAAAGACCCACATCCTATTGAGTTTTTACAAAATTTGGAGGAATATTTCCGAGTCAAGCAGATGACCCGTGAAGAAAAATTAATAATTATAAATGACTGCCTGAAAAATGCAGCAGGGAACTGGTATTCAACCATTAAATTTCAAATACGTGATTATTCGGATTTCCGAGACGCATTCATTGACGAGTTCTGGTCAAGAAAAATTCAAATTCAGACCTGGAGCGGCTGCCTTAATACAACCCAAATACCAGACAACGTCACGTATCGAGAACACTTTTCACAGTGGGCATCAAAATTGAGACACTTACAAGTTCCCGAATTATCGGAAGAAGAAATTGTAAGTCATATCGCCAATCATTATCCTGGTTATCTCAGAGCAATCCTTGTATCTTTACCAGATAAATCAGTGATAAGCGCAATGAAGGTACTTGGTGCAGAAGATTGCCATCGGAATAAACCAATGACATCGACTACAGGTAATAATGTGATAAAAAACTACAGTAGTCAAAACAACAATCAAAGTCATTATCAAAACAACATACCGTCGAACAACAACCGCGAAGGGGACAATCGAACACCAGACAGCAACAATTACCAGAACCAATACCAAAGTAATAGGGGACGGTACAATAATTGGAGCCATCGACCACCACAAAATGGTATACCAGATAATCGTAATAATAACTGGAATCAAAGACCACCACCAACCAATAACAATAACCACGGTGAGGTAAGAAATCCTCAACAAATCAACCAAATCACCATGGAACGAAACAATGACGAAATACCTAATAGTGATAACACTCAAGTAATAGCACCTGTTACACACACAATAAATAACGTGGCAACAAATAATGAAAATATCAGTCCATATATACAATGCGAGATCGAAGGAGAACCACTAAGATTACTTGTAGATACAGGTGCCACCATTAGTGTCCTGACTAAGGAAGTGATCGATAAATTGTTACGAAGAGACCAGACTATACCAGTATTCCCAGTTACTGGTATTCAAATCAGTAACGCTGTTGGAAAAAGAATATGTAGAGTTGCCAAGCAGATATATTGTAAATGTCAAATAGGCAAATTAACAATATACAACAACTTTATACAGGTCGAAAATCTAAATGAACGTGGTATAATTGGAGCAGATCTACTGAAAGAATATAAAGCTTAAATCAACTTCGAGAATAAGACTATTACCTGGGAGGTAGATAAAGCCTTATATGTCACCAATTTTGCAGAAAAGATTAACCACGGGCAACATGGAGATATAAACAATATACGGATAACCGACGAAGAAAATATAGACGACAAAAAAATCAATGAAAAAAGACAGTGCGACGAACTCATCGAACAGTATCGTCATATATTTTCCACGGAACCAGGTCGAATCCGTAAGTTCCAGTGTCAGATCAAAGTTAAAGAAGGCGAACCAATACATCAACGACCCTATCCTATTCCCATGTCAAAAATGGCTCGGATGGACAATGAGATACAACGAATGCTATCTATGAATATAATTGAACCCTCTACGTCGCCTTGGTCATCGCCAATTGTAGGAATAGAAAAAAAAATGGGGACATACATCTTTGTCTGGATGCACGCAAAATCAATCAACGAATAATACCAGATCGCGAATGTCCTACTAATATTTAAGAAATACTAATCAAATCTAAAGGGGCAAAATACCTCAGCTCCATAGATTTAACTTCCGGCTACTGGCAATGCGAACTGAGACCGGATTGTCGTGAAATTACTGCCTTCCTACATAGGGGACGCAATTATCAGTTTCAAGTCCTACCATTTGGATTAATAAACTCGGTAGCAGAGTTTCAGAAGATATTGGATAAGGTATTAGGTCCAGAACTACTCGAATTCATGGCAATATATGTGGACGATATCCATATTATGTCACGAACGTTTGAAGAACATAATACCCACCTACGAATGATATTTGAACGATTTGCACAATATAATGTAACAATTAACATAAAAAAATCACATTTTGTACAACCACAGATCTTATTCCTCGGGCATATTATATCAGAACAAGGTATCACAATGGACCCTGAAAAAACCCGAGCAATACAGAATTTTCAAGCACCACGAAATAAAAAACAGATCCGATCGTTCATAGGATTTATAAACTTTTATAGAAAATATATTAGGGACCTGTCGGCCTATACAAATAAGCTGACTCAGTTATTGAAAAAAGTTATACCATGGACCTGGGAAGAGGAACAAGAAGAAGCGTTTAATAAAATTAAACAATCATTCCTGACGGACCTCATTATCGAGTATCCCGATTTCAATCGTAAGTTTTATCTGTCCACCGATGCATCAGGCACACATATCGGGGCGGACCTGTTTCAAATCGGAGAACAAAATCAACACCAAACACTAGGTTTTGTAAACCGAACGCTTAATGAAGCTGAACGAAAATATCATACCACCGAACGAGAATTGTTAGCCATTGTCTTTGGTTGCAATAAGTTCCGAAATTATATTCTGGGATATCCAACAGAGATACTAACTGATCATCAGGCGCTCGTATTCCTCAACAAATGCCAACTACTCAACGGTCGACTGACACGATGGTCGATCATATTACGAGAATATGACCTGACAGTACAACACATACCAGGAAAAGACAATGTTGGAGCGGATACTCTCACTCGGTACCCACAACATCCCAACGACCATGACCATCCACATCCAGTCACCTTAACAATTAATAAGCTCATGCTCATTGAGTACAGCTTGAACTTGCAGAACCAGTTTAAACAATTTAGAGAACTCCAACAGAAAGATCTAAGATTAAATAAAATTAGGTCAAAAATCGAGAAAAAGGCAGACAAACGATTTATGGTATTCAAAGGAATATTATTTTCCGTGGATCGACACCAGAAATACCAGGCAATGATACCGGAGAGTATGGGACACCAAGTTATTAAGGAAACTCACGAACATTTCGGTCATGTGGGCACTTATAAAATCTACGAATTACTACGCTATCAATATCAGCTCAAAAATATGTATCGGAATGTTAAAAAAATTGTAAAATCATGCGATTTATGCCAAAAAAGCAAAATCAACAACCAATTGACTAGGGGACCCTTATTGTCAAATATTCCGGAGGGACCACGATGTACAGTTTCATTAGATTTAATGGGGCCACTACCTAAAGGCCAATACAACATGAGATACATCTTGGCAATAATTGATATATTCTCCAAGTATGTAAAATTATACGCAATACGCCGTGCTACCACAGATACCATATTAAAGAAAATCACTGATGATTATATTCCAAAATATGGGCCGGTAAAGAAGATACTGACAGATAACGGTACCCAATTCAGGAACGACAAATGGATAAAACAACTGCAAGCCGCAAGGATACAAGCAGTATTCACCACCACATATCACCCTGAAGGTAATCCGATAGAACGCACCAACCGAGAAATAGGACGTATACTACGTACCTACTGCCACTCCAAACATGAGGGATGGGTAAAATGGATCAGCACGATAGAATTTTGGCTAAACCATACCACTCACGAATCAACAGGATATACCCCACAACAAATAATGTTCGGTAGTCGTCACATCCTGACTATTGATAAATTGTTAGATTTTCCGACAGTACAAGGAGACACCACTGAGAAAATCACATGTCATTTAATAAAAAGCCGGTTAGAAAAAAAAGCCGCCGCAAGAAATAAAATCAAAGACAAGAATAAGAAATTCATCACCTATCTACCTGGACAGCAAGTACTTGTAAAAGAGCACCGCCTTTCCTCGGCGGAGGACAAGACTATTCACAAGTTTTTCTTATTATATCACGGGCCGTATAAAATTTCCGAAGTAAGGGGAAACAATACCGTGGTCGTAGAAGTGGAACCAGGAAAGAATCGAACGCATAATATGAAGGAAGTCAAGCTATACATTCCACCGGATCCTGGGGAAGGACAACGAATAAGCGCGGAATAAATACCCTATCAAAATTGTAGTAACCTCCTCGGATCACCTAAAGTAATAATTATATATGTTTATTTTAGGTAGGTTGCCATATAAAAAAAAAAAAAAAAGAGAGAGATATAAAATGACACAACCATGGCCAGAAGACCCTAATGAAAAGGCCAGGAAGTTAAAAGAACTTCATCTCCGATATCAGCGGGTGTTTGCCATGGAATCATCGAAGAAAAACATGAATACAAAAATCATTACAGCCACTACAACTTCAGAAAAAGCAGAGAAAACAAATATACAGCATCACCGTATCCAAAATCTAGCCTTTTTTCCGGCAAGTAAAAGTACTCAACAATTAAAGAGGGAAGCTCAATTCGAAAGGATGCGTTTAGCCCAACAAACTAATTATAGTCTTGAGCCCACCTTTATGATACCGGACAGTGTAATATGTGTACCAAAGCTAGCACCTGAAGCAATACCTGAGACCACAATACCTGAGACGGACGTATCATCAACAGTTAATCAAAAGATCATCGAAGAACAGGACTATCATACAACCAAAGAAACTAGATCACACGATAGCGATGTCGATACTCTATTATTGGCCCAAGAGTTGGAGATCAACATCCGGCCAGAAGAACAACATGACATAGAACAAAGTGAACCAGCGATGCCACTAGTACCACCAGAGAGTAAACGCAAACAGAAGAAACGCCTCTGGGTTTCTAAAATCGAAAAGAAAAAAATCTGAACAAATGGATCCAATTGATCTTTGAGATATCATACCTACCTCGGGAAGGACACCCGATGGTAAGAATCGTTTTGTACCCAAAGACAAGAAAAGTTTACATTAATTTTATTTTATTTTCCTTTATGCATTTAAAAAAAAAAAAAAAAAAAAAAAGATGAATGTAAAAGGGGACTATGTAACGGGACAAAACAAGCGTATTATGAAATAGCTCACGCTATCTAGTGGTGGCCTAATGCGTTTATACGCAAATAATGATACCTACCACGTGTGTACTTTACGTGATTAGAATATGACAAAAAGCGAAGTAATATTTTTTGTAAGTACAATGAAACATTATACTTACACATATAACATTGTTACCTTTACCATAAAAGAACATATTTTAGTTCCTATGCTAATAAAACATATCAACACGGATGCTCAGTGTTGAATATAGAGTGCGCGGCAACAATGCAGTTTTACGACTGCCAATGTTTTACCTACTTTGAATACAAATCCCGGCAAAATTGGAACCTCCGACATCAATAATCCATAGAATACCAACGCACCACATAAGTTCATATAATAAAATCTATAAAATCTAGTTCCAGAAAGGAACAACAGCAATAAGACATCAAACACAGTAACCATTATACTGCATGGTAGCAGTAGTGGGAGAACCACAGATATACCGGTCACATTTCACCACACAACATACCTACTTACGTCGAACGCACCCGTCGAGTACGCGCCGTATTTCCGCCGTTCACACAACCGTCGTACCGTTTTTCGTTCTGTTATATAATAAAATCGCTGCCTAGAGGATCCCGCCGCGGAGTCCTCGCAACTGATATACTACTCCTCTCCTTACCCTGAAGTATTAGTAGTGGTACAGCATCGTCTGTACTGTTCAAGCTACTATTACTCAGCGTGGGAGAGGAAAAATCTCCCTAAAACTCGCTATATAGAAATCTGCAGTGATACAGCACCACTGTATTGTTCAAGCTGCAGATAGCTATATAGTAAAAACGTTCGTTGAAAAACCAATATTACACAGACTCTGCAGTGGTACAACTCATCATTGTACTGGTCAAGCTGCAGCTCTCTGTGTAATATATTTGCTCAGAGGTAAAATCGCATCATCCGTCGTCGCCGTCATCCGACCGCTATTACACCGTTGTAAGTGTTCTAATCACCACGGATTAAATAAACGTCAGCGCTGTTACACTTCGTCGCTGCGGATCCACTTCATACCACTGAAGCTACTGTACACTGTTGAAACCCGTTGGAAGGAAGGAGGTCAAATCTCATAACGATTCCGCATCGAGGACGAGTCATACCACCGCCCGATTGTAGTCTACGTTACACCATCGCAGCCATACTCTGAGAGCTTGGAAGATAGCCCAGCAGTCACTGTCACGATCGTTAATTGCCACCAATTTCCAAACGGTTACATTAAAACAGAAGTTAAACGTGAGTCTTTTAACTTGTTCATTTTAAAACGTATCATATTATATCTGTAGCTCGAAGAGCAAAAATACATATTAACTAAAAGAAAATATTGTATTGAAAATATTACCAATACCATAGTATCACTGTAGCTCGAAGAGCACATACATATATACATAAAAAAAAAAAGAAAATATTGTAAGCAAATATTTTTCAACATTATAATATTTGTAATAATAAGAATAAATACACACTCTATATCAAAAACAAAATTGTGTGTAATTTATCGTTACAACTGGTGTCGTTGTTGAGTCAGTCTTCTTAATATTTCTTCACTTAATGTTAGTTTTTTAATTCTGTTATACTACGTGAACGTGAAAAGGTAAAACCAAATAAATTCACTTTATCAGTTAATTACGGCTTATCGACTAACAATAAGTAGCGGCGTCCCGCGTCTCAATTTTTCTTGATTAGAACACGGCACGTGTCAAGGTCACCACATATAGCTGCTTTTAGCGTCGGGTGTAATTTAATTGGCCTATCTACATTTTCAAAGGCGTCTTATTTTATTTTAATTAATTTTGATTATTTGCCTATTAGTTAAACTATTAGTCGTTAACGCAATGGCCCAAAGTAATGATCTACTTTTTACTGAACTGAATAAGTGGACAAAAAGCATGCTCGTTGACTTCATTATTACTCAATCACTACCTACTGGGGTGAAATTGAGTGAGGAATTGTCAACATTCTTAAAAGGATCTTCTTCTAACCCTACATCGCTATCTTCTGAAAACTCATTAAATGTGGCCACTATTCTTCAATCTGTTGTCGATGAGCTCAAATCTGTAGCACTTAGTAACTCTAAGTTACATGATAAGCTAAACCGTCACAATACGATAAACCGTCTCGATACGACTGCTAAGGTTTCCACTTCTCCTAATTTAAATATTGGTTCAAACAATCTACCAACTACTTTACTCTATAAGCTGAATGCGGATACTCATTCTAGACAGCCTGCAATCCAATCGACTGCTAGTTTATCCTCGTCCATAAAATCAAAATTTATCGTTGGCTCTCATAAAAGTGTATCCTCCAAGTTGTCTTCAGTGCCAGTGCGGAGGCATATTGATATCTTTGTCTCAAGACTTGAGCCATGTGTATCGACCACTATGCTTGAATCTGAATTGTTCAATAGCGACTCAGATGTGACCATAAATAAATTAGTGACAAAACACCCATCATATTCTTCATTTCATGTGCGCCTGCCTGCGGAGAAGCTTGATGAAGTCCTCGAACCTACATTCTGGCCTGATGGCGTAATGGTCAAGGCTTTTGGGGTCGTCTTACGCCCGAGATGATTCTAAGCGACACTCCAAAAAACTAATTTCTTCATGTACGCCTATCTGTGATCCTCCTGTTGATATACACTCTTATAATTATAATAGTAAGGATTATTGTTTATGTAGTGATTTATGTACTTGTAACCATATTCTCTTAGGTTTTTATCAAAATTGCCACGGGTTAAGAACCAAACTAAGTAATTTAAAATTTAATGTCGCTGTTTTTGATTATGTTTTTATCTGTTTCACTGAAACATGGTTATGTGACAGCTTCTATGATAGTGAGCTTGGTCTATCCAACTACATCATTTATAGATGTGATAGAAATAGTTTAACAAGTAATTTTTCTAGGGGTGGCGGCGCTCTCATTGCCATTCGTAGTGACATAGTATCTAAATAATTTACACTCCAGCTACCACTGTTGAACATCTATTTGTTAAACTTAGTTATAATAACATCAACTATGTAGTGTGCTCAGTGTACTTTCCTCCTAATTGCCCGCTTTCTGCTTATGAGTCTTTTATTTCCACTGTACAATCTGTTCTTCTCCTTCATCCAGAATGTGTATTCATTTTTTGTGGTGACTTCAATGTGCCAGATATAATATGGTCCAACGATGATTTTGGTTTACTTTACAATACGGTTTCTAATCCCAGAGTTCAATGTATCCCTGATGCATTTGCGTTATTTAACTTTTTCCAACTTAATGATATTCATAACTCTTTTGGTGCTGTCTTGGACCTTGTGTTCTCCAATGATAACAGAATCTATATCTCTAAAGCCGTAACTCCAGCAGTACCTTGTGATCCATACCACCCGGCTCTTGATATTATGATAAAGTTGGATAAACTCTCCCCTTTACTTGATCGTTCCCATAATTATTATGACTTCCGCCGTGCTCCCTATTCAAAAATATGCGAATTCTTAAATTAATTTAATTGGTTGGAGACCATAATATCTCTCGACGTTGATGACGCGGCTAAGGAAATTTATGACGCCTTGCACTTTTGCATTTTAAACTTTGTTCCGGAAGTATCTTATATACCTTCGACATTCCCGAAATGGTTTTCAAAAAATCTTAAGCATATTGTTTTAAGCAAGAAAAGGGCACATGCCAAGTTTAAAGCTTCACGCTGTCCCCTTGATTATGCGGAATTATCCGCACTTCGTGCCTCTTACCAGGCTGAATACAAGATATGTCATACTGTCTACCTGTCTCGCACTGAGTCTATGCTTAAATATAACCCCAGGTCGTTTTGGGACTTTGTCCGAGTTAATAAATCTAGCAACGAAATTCCCCACTCAGTACATTTTGAGAATTTACAAAGCTCGGGTTCAGAGTCTGTCTCTAACTTATTTTCCCATTACTTCAATACAGTCTATGTCCCTCCTTTGTCTAATGACTATTCGTCTCCTTTTTTGTTCCATGACCTACCTAGCACTTGTTCATTCGACATCGATGATGTTGACGCGGGTCTAGACGCATTAAAAAATGTTAAGTCCGTAGGCCCCGACGGCTCGTCAGGTATATTCTTATACAATGTGAAATCTTCATTATGTTTTCCACTATGGCTACTTTTTAAGCGTTCGATCGAAAGCGGAGTTTTTCCCTCTTCTTTCAAGATTAGCTCTGTCACTCCTATTTTTAAATCTGGTGATAAAGCTGATGTCAAAAATTATAGACCTGTCTCTATTTTGAGCCACATATCCAAACTGTTTGAACTTCTAGTATTGAGAAGTATTCAATCGCCAATTAACTCTATTCTAATCGACGAGCAACATGGGTTTAGGCCTGGTCGCTCGACCACTACTAATTTACTCGTGTTTAACAATTTTGTTATGAAGGCTGTCGAGAAGCACATCCAAGTTGATGTTATTTTCACAGACTTTACTAAAGTCTTCGATAGAGTCGACCATGGCCGCCTAATCGAGACCTTATACAAAACTGGGTTCGGTGAACCATTGTTGTCTTGGTTGAAATCTTATTTGTCAGACAGAGTCCAATGGGTAAAAGTGTTCGGATGCAAATCATCCATCTCAAAGGTCTCTTCTGGAGTTCCTCAAGGAGGACTTTTATCTCCAATATTGTTTTCTTTGTATGTAAATGGCATCAAGGAAATTTTCAAAAACTGTGAACTTCTCATGTTCACCGACGACTTGAAGCTCTTTAGGAAAATTGATAACTTATCTGACTGCTCTACGCTCCAGAATGATCTCAAACAACCTGGTCTC